TCACTCTCGAATTGGCCTTTTCAGTCACACTAGACGCTGTTCCAAGTCCTCAATACAGAGCACGTTACCATAGTCTCTCGAGACTGAAGGACGCCTAAGAAGAATGGGACTGTAGGTGAGGAAAATAATAGGTTCTACTGTTCCTGGAACATAATCACTTATTAGAGTTTATGAGGAGACAAATTAAATTTACAAGGAAATCATTCTCCTATATTCATTATAGTTTGTTTATTGAGATCAGATAAGGAGGATGCTGACTTCAGAAAGCAGTTCCAATAGTTGGACATTTTTATCTCCCATCTGTCAGGTCCAAGTGCTTGGACTAGTTACAACTTATCTTTTCAGAGGCGTCAATCTTTAAGCATGCTGCAGTAAGGTGTATATATTTTCTTAATATCCCTTTTGACTGAGATATACTGCCAATTTGAGATTGTTTGGTCTTACCTGAGTTTTATTGTTGCAAATTGAAGAAATTTTAAAAGTGTGATTATGCTTCAACTGCATTTTGTGAATTGTTTACAGACAAGCACTTTTTCGTATAGTCTGATCTAAAACAACACTGCAAACATGCAAATAACTCTTCATGCTTTTTGTTCTTTTCCTATATACTGTATCCTGATGTCACATGAATTTTTTTACACTCGACTGTGCATGTACCGTACAACACTTCTTAAAAGTGGTATTAATTATAGACATTGCAGATCAAGATTAACTATCTTCAGTAAGTTTTAGTCCAAACATGTGAAGTTGCTCCTTAATGATCAAGCATGATGTTTTTCTCCAGATGTATTGGTACTTTTCATGAAGACGCACCAACTTACTTTTCTCCGATCTTTAAGAATTCTGTCCAAATTCTCTTCACTGACTTTACCTGCATAGTCGTAAAAGCTTAAAAAATAAAAAAACAGAAGATTGGTTTATATATCAAACAAAGCTATGTACAATGGAAAAAGTTACTGATGGATTGTATTGGTATGTTTGAGCTGAACAGATTCTTCATTCATTATACCCAGTGCAAATTAAATCATATAGGAAAGTTTTATGAAACACTTAGCAACAAAGTTATAAAATTATGCTCCTCCCCTTTCAAATAACATCTAGGTATTAAAGACTTTCATAGTGACAAACTATTTTTTTTAATGGACTGTTTTGTAGTAGTTATTTAGACAATCTGGCTTGACATTTTGGCTGCATATCTGTTCAGTTACATTGCTGCATTCACACTATTGAACTTAAGAATACTTGCATTAAAATCAGATGCCTATATTGCAGCTCAGTCAAGTGTTCCTAGTGACAGTGCAACATACTGTGAATTGCAGGATCTACTGTATGCATAAAAATATTTATTCTGGAAAATGCATACATGTTTCGATAAAAGTAAATCCTGCCCCCTAATTTACCTTTTAGTGTGTTAGATATCTTGTAAAGGTTAATCTTTATCCACACTAAATGATGTTAAGGCGTGTGTGTCAGAAACACAGGTATGCAACATACATATGCCACACTCAAGTCTAAGCAACACTCAATTCCCCATGGTGTGTAAAACATAAACAAACAAGGGCTCAGATGATACATTCACAGATCTCAATATGAGATCAATTTAAAGCAGATTTTTTTTAAACAAAGACTATGCATTCTGGTAATTTATCAGAAAACAAAATGCTATTTCTTCAAAAGCAGGTCAGGACAGAATAGCAAATATTCTGCCTGCAGTTTAAAGCGTAACAGGACAACTTCAAACTTTCTTAAGAAATCACCAGCTATTATACATTTATATAGTTATCTCACTGATGTCATTGCTTAACTAAACTACAAAGTAACTAGACCAAAGTTCACATTCTTCTTGGCAAGAAACTGGAGGGGGAAAGCAGGGATCTAAATGCCGCACAATCACTTTGATCCCTTTTCCCCTCCTTACTTCCATGTATAAGACAACCCTCATTTTTTAGTCAAAAGATTTTAAAGTATCATCTTATTCACAGAAAAAGACGGTAGTTTATTACAGTATACTAGTATACACGGTGGAGCAAACACAGTGGTTTAAATCCAATTACTGTACTAGTCTCTACTAGAGAAATCTCTAGGACTCATTTGCTGGATGATCTTGTAAATCCCACAGATTATATGGTCTGCTCCAGTTGGGCCTAGCGATTGGATTCAGGCCAGTCTGTCTAATAATAACACTATTTCCCTTTCATGGTATTAGAAGAGTAATATTTGGCACCTAAACCAATCATGAGTAAGTTCACACAATCTGAACTATTCAACAATGACAAAAGAATATTGTACAGACTTGTAATGCCACAGCTACATTTGCCCCAAAGCAAACTACTATCAGGTTTTGTGTTCTCAAATTCTGAGATATGTGCAGATTCTCACAGCAGGCTGTAAAAGAATGTAAAAGTAGGGGAATCTCCACTGATTATGATATATACTCTCAACTCAAAAGCAAATTTGGCATAAAAATTCTTTTACACATAGTACTTATTTATATATTATGTATTTCAGGAATCAACTCCACAAATGTATAAAGTGGTGATACTACTAAATCTGGCAAGATTCTTCAGATAAATCCTTTAATCAAAGACATCCATCACATGAAGCATGAATTTATGTGCTTCTTGATCCTATACAACACAACGAATTAGTTATACATTTTACACATATAAAGATGAGTGTTCCTAAACAGAGATTACATGGAGATAAGGTTTGCATGCACTAAAGAAAAACAAAACAGTTGAATTGAATTTGAAAAAAAATCTTATTTCTCACTTGGTAAGAATGGGGCAACCTCTGTTATTATGCGTGTCCATGTAGACGTACATACATCTAGAAGACAATACCTCAGGTATTTCAAGTTTCTTAAAAGTATGAGGTTTTTTTAATGATTAAAAAAACCCAACAGTGTTTATAAGATACCACCAGCAGTGACATGTACTTAGTACTTTTTATGTGATGTATCTTTAGTATACTTTAGTATAGACTTTAGTATAGACTTTATCTGCAACTTGGCTTTCCATACTTTGGGGGGGGGGAGTATATATTCCAGCCAGTAACGCCTGATTCTGTGGCCTAGAGATTTCTGTTAATGATGGAGTCACTGAATCTACACTTCACAGGATAAGAAAGAATAGGTGACAAGAGTAACTTACCTAAAGAGTTTGGAACAAGGTTCATGATTGTGGATTTCTGCAATAAGAAAACAATGCATATTTCGGTGATTCAAAACAAAGGCATTAGCTAGAGTGATATATCCCATATGTATCCTTTCTATGCTTCACACTAAAAGCAAACAAATTCTTGTTGCACAGAAATTACATGGCCAAAAATGTGTGAAATATTCCTGATGATCACAGTAGCATTCCTATGTAAGATGTATAGGACACCTTCAAGCCTCCTTCAGTTGGGTTTCCACTTTTCACTAGTACACAGGAACGTCTCTCCCTGGATGTGAACTTGCTACTACCCAATCAGATACCCAGTATCCTCCTTCACACTTTTGTCTCTACACACTTCAGATTTCTGTGCCCTTTCTTCAATCTGCACTTTACTATGTGGAAAATTTTTGCTTAAGCATTTTGTTACAACTCAAACCCTTAGATAAAGATGGAATTTCCTTCTTTTCCTTTCCCCACTTATTTGAGCTCTGACCAAGCAGCCAATATAGGTCTTCATGTGATAAATGTCACTAGAAAACAGAGATGTTTCAAACACAAAAGTTTTCCTTATGTTCATAAAACAGTGGACAAAATTATGTTGAGGTAGCTATGGTAGTGTAAACTGGATCTGAGCAGTGGAAATAAACAAATTCAAAGCTTCCTATTCCCCTATTCCAGGTTCCCAGGCTTCCTAGAGCTCTCTTGAGGACACGGAAGACTTGTGGGAAAAAAATTGCCACTGCTTCTCTGTCATCCAGTGACTTTCAAAGGCTTCCTCAGCACAAGAGGGAGGCCTAAGGAGTCTCGGATCTTGAAGGGAGTGAATAGGTAGCGTTCAATTAATTTTTTTAATTTAAAAAAAACATTGTATTAGTTTTTCAATCTATCTACATTCAATTTGTGCTTGTTAAACATCATGTTACATGGGTTGCTTATATAGTGGTGCCTCGCTTAGCGACGTTAATCCATTCCGGAAAAAACATTGCTAAGCGATTTCATCGCTAAGGGAAATTAAAAAGCCCATAGAAATGCATTAAAATGCGATTAATGCGTTCCTATGGGCTTCAGTTTAAATCATTTTTCTAATATATAGGATATGCCCTCTTATAATTCCAGAAGTTAGGTATATACAGTACTAATATTTTATACTAATTATACTAATAATATTTTTTCCTTTTTCATCTTTCTAAGTAACTCCTTCTCTTATTTGTCTTTTCCCAATTCTTGTTTCTATCTCTTTAAAAATTCTGCCATGCCTTGTGCCTCCTGAGAACATTGTATACATTGGTTCTATCTCCAATAGCTCTTCCAGGCATTTTTAAAATTAGATCTGTTTTTTCTCTCCCCTTATCTTCCCTTAGCACATCTAAAATTCTCCTCAACCCCAGGGTTAGAGTTAAAACTCCTAGAGTTTCTCCTCTAATTTCCTCCACCCCTCTTTTGATTGGCACACATCATCCACCACCCTTATTCATGCGACTACTGTAATATACAATATTGGCTACTATCACAATATTGCTCTCATAGCATACAATGTTCTCAAAATCCTCTAATAATATACAGTGGTGCCTCGCTTAATGGGCGACTCGTTTAATGACGAAGCCACATAGCGATGAAGATTTTGCGATCGCAAAAGTGATCGCATTGCGATGTTCCCTATGGGGAAAAATCATTTTGTGATGATCGTGAAAGCGATCATCGCAATTGTCTCA